GATGGCCCCAGGTAGGGGCCTCTTCTTTCTCAGTGTGTGCTTCTCAGTGTGTGCTTCTTGAAGTGAGCATCTTTTTTTTTTTTTTTTTTTAAATTGTCTCTTGTGACGGCGTTCCGGGGCGGGGTGGGAAGGTAGCAGTTGGGTAGTGACGATGGGTTGTGATAGCCTGACTCTGCCAGGGCTCAGTTGGAACGCAGACGTATTTGCATGTCGTCACCAAGGTGCTTGCATGTGCACGTGGTGTCTAAGAGATACTGGTTAACAGCCGCCGAAACCGAGTCGCTTCCCCGTGGAGTTCTTTCGTAAAATAAGAGGTGTGATTTGTTGCAAACCTTTGGGCTGTTGGCTGAGGCTTGAACGTGACACTGAAAACATTTAAGTTAAGACATGGGCTTGGAGGAAAACACTGGCAGCCCTCTAGAAGAAGATTAAGAATTGATATGCAAAATATCAACTCAGCAACTGAAAACATAAGAGTATTGTTCTGTGCAGTGGTACCCCATGGAAATCAGAGGATAAATAGAACTTGAGGGTGAGCAGAAACCCTAGGCAGAGGGTCGATGGCCTTCACCTTGACCTGTGGATTATTCATTTGAGAGATAGCAAGCACCCAGGCTTTTGCAAACAGAAATCCTACTCCAGACTTCATCCTCCTTAACTTAAAAACACAGACACACAGAGACACACATATACTCACACACACACACACACACACACACCCCAACAGAAAACCATTATTTATGTAATGAAGCACCTCGACTGTGACCTTGTGATGGAGGAGTGCCCCTAGGTGGATGCATGGGCTGCTGCAGTGTCCTGGCATGCACAAGCCTACGTGTGCTGAGACACGTGGCTGTCAGCGAGTCACGTTTCAAACAGCTGTGTGCAACTCCGAACCACAGAGAGAGCTGCCTTTACTGTTGGGTCTCGTTCCAGTTGTTTAACTCACGGCAGATGTCCTCATCAGGGGCTATTAGCACATCAGAATGTGTTTACTGGGCCTGGAGAAGGACTAACCCCCTTTGGACGTCGACCAAAATACATATTCTGGGTTCGCCAGCCCCTCCTGTTGGTGACAGCTGGAGGTTGAGAAGTGCAAGGGGGCAGACAGTACTGAGACATCTTCAGCAAGAGTTTCGGTTTCAGAGAATTCCGTGAGTCAAAAATGTAAAACTGTAATGTGAGATTTGGCTACCTGTTGAAACCCCGTTATTGCCACCCAGAAGTAGATGATTTTTGATTTCTTTTGGCTACTCCAGAACCATATGGCAAATTAGGGGTTGAATGGTTTATATAGACCATTGATAGCTCCCAAGAAAAAGACCCAGTGGAGGGATGAACAGAAGTGGAGAGCAAGGAGGGCCAGTTGGCAGGAGGACGCGGAGTGACAGGACATCCTCAGAGGAGGGCAGCACTCCTGGGCGCAAACGAACAGTGACTCCCGAGAAGGTGCTCTGTGGTGCAGGGTTCACCTGGCTCTTCCATCCACCTGCGTGGCCGCCTTTGTCCTGCACTAATTCCCTCTGACTCCGAGAAGGACTCTGGGCCATCTGTGTTGTCTAGGGAGCAAAGTCCTTGCTAACCGAATGAGTATGCTGATTAACCCAGGAGAGGCACCGAGTGACCCCTGGCAATGCTGCCCATCCTGGCTGTCTCAATTCGTATTTTACATTTTCATGCTACTAATCCCTGGTATCAGCTTGGCTAAAGTTTCCCCTGTTTGGGTGATCATATTATCCCTCTGCGCCCTTTCAGACGGCAGTGTGTGTATAAAGGTCTTCCCGAGCCCCAACTGCTAAATGATTAACAGTGAGCTGGGCTGGTTAGCAAGGTCAGACTCAAGCAGGGGCCTTTATTTTGTGGGTGAGAGGCTAAGGTGCAAGTGGAGAAGAGATTTTCAAGGAATGAAAGTGCATTAGGCAATGGAATTATAGGCTTGCCGAGTCAGGAGCTATTTATAAAATATATTTGAAAGGTAGAAACAGAGCGAGCGAGTGAGCAAGTGAGCTTGACAGCTCTTCTGCCTGCTGGTTCACTCCTCAAATGCCCACAGCAGTTCTCATTTCCTCGGCCAAGTCAAAGCCTGGAACCAGGAACTCAGTCTGGATCTCCCTTGTGCCCTTGTGGATGGCGGGAATCCAGCGACTTGGGCCATCACCTGCTGCCTCTCAGGGTGTGCGTTGGCAGAACGCTGGGATCGGGAGTGGAGCCAGGACTCAGACACAGGCACTGTGGTATATGAAGGTGTTCCAAGTGGCATCTTTTTTTTTTTTTTAAAGATTTATTTATTTCAAAGGCAGAGTAACAGGGAGGGGGAGAAAGAGATTTTTTTTTTTTTTTTAAATTTGCTTGAAGGCAGACTTAACAGAGAGGCAGAGGCAGAGAGAGAGAGGGAGAAGGAGAGAGAGAGAGATAGGTCTTCCATCCATTGGTTCAGTCCCCCAGATGGCCGCAACGGCCAGAGCTGCACCGATCTGAAGCCAGGAGCCAGGAACTTCTTCTGGGTCTCCCACGCAGGTGCAGGGGCCCAAGGACTTGGGCCATCTTCTACTGCTTCCCCAGGCTGTAGTAGAGCTGGATTGGAAGTGGAGTACCTGGGACTCAAATCGGTGCCCATCTGGGATGCTGGCACTGCAGACAGTGGCCCTGAGAAAGAGGTCTTGCATCTGCTGGTTCACTTCCCAAATGGCCACAACAGTCAGGTCAAGTCCAGGAGCCAGGAACTCCATCCTAGTCTCCCGTATGAGTGGCAGGGGCCCAAGAACCTGGGCCATTGTCTGCTGCCTTCCCAGATGCATTAGCAGGAAGCTGGATCCAAAGTCGAACAGCCAGGGCGCCAACTGGCACGGCTTAACCCTCTGCATCTCAACACTGGCCCTCTAAGTGGTGTCGACTTAACCCCTGGGCCAAACATCTGGCTTGGGGTATTTTGCCATCAGAGTCTCTGATGGAGGAAACAACACTATATAGATAAAAAGCAACTTCAGTGGGTGTTTTCTTTGGAGAGATCCTGTGCCTGCTGGAATGGCGGCAGGATTGTGAACTTTGACACTAGAGTCATGAGCTCCAACCCAAGACTGTTGGCTCCTTGGCGGGTAGTAACCTAAACTTTGTGGCATAGCTGTCTCATCAGAAATAACAGGCCATCTGTGTTCCTCTCAAGTGGTTCTGGGGATTAAATCAGATGCAGTTTATGAAAGTTAGTGCCTATGAAGCACTTAATAAAGGCAGTTTCCCTTCCGTCTTTCTCTTCTGCTTTTAAAAATTGAGATTTGGGAATACTATAAATAAAATGACTCATAAAGAGTGTTTTTAGTGTGGAATGCAGGCTGGTTGAAGGAAGGAGGCTAGAGAGTGAAGGCAGACACGTGGGACCAAGCCGGAAGTGGGCAGGTTCACCCACGTTATGCTGATCCAGCAGGTTTTGAAAGGTGCAGGCTCACCCACAAAAAAAAAAAAAAAAAATTAAGAAACTGTTCTTTTCATTAAAAAGAAAAGAAAAAGGTTCACAAAAACAGCGCCAGGGTTTGCTGGCCAAACATTTCGGGCGCCATGTGAGGATTGGAAACCCAGGAATTTCTGAAATGCTACCCTGTCTTCATTTTTCAGTGGTAGAAACCCCAAACTTCCTCCCGGGGAAGGTGGGGGTAGCCGCTGGGCTTTTGGCCAAGACCAGGGTTGTGTGGGTCTCTGGGTTGGTGCTGCCATCTGGTGTCTGCACATGGCATTGCCGCTTCCCCTCGGAGTCTATCAGCTCACTGAAATCGAATGCAGACTTCAGGACTCTCCTTTCTAGCCTGAGGCTTTAGGGACAAGGCAGGTAATGAGTTTAAAAACCCGTTTAGCTGGGGCACACATTGTTTTTGCAAGCGATAAAGAATCTCCCCCTTGCGAGAGAGGCTTTCCAAGAGAGTGTTGTTGGAAGTAAAGTTGCCATCCACTTAGGGGAGGTCCTCTTTCCTGTTGTGACTCCCACTCTGTTCTCTGATGTTTCAGGAATTCACAGTGAAGATGCCGCCATCAGATCACAGCCCCTGCGGCTCTTAGCAACATGCTGGGGGAAACCAGCCAGAACCCTTTGCTCAATACTTGCAACCTCATTACTTTTGAAAATTGCTTTTGCTTGTTCGTGTTTTGCTACTGTGTTCGCTAACACAGCTGGCGGGAATGGTTGGGAAAGAGGCCAGGATTTGGGAGATGTGGAGGTGGCGGGGACCCAAAAAGTCCCTGAGGCACTTGTGGCCAGGGTGGAAAGCGCAGGTTGGTAGAACAGTTGAACGAAGCCGGCACCGAGGGCTGCTGTGTGAGTGTGGCCAGGGCCCGAGGGGAGGGAGGGAGAAAGTGGCGGGACAGGCATTTGAGATGCCGAGTGTAGGTGGTGGCTGCAGTTAGCCGGGTGGGCAGCAGCATTGGCGTGGAGGTCTGAGGAAGCCCGGATGGTTTCCACCTGCGATGCATTTTGTATGCATGCACTCATTCCTCAGCTAACTACTTGTGGAAGAAATGATAGACAGGAGCAGAGTACCTGGCACAGCGCAGAGGAACAAAGTGCTTGGAGGCCTCGTGCACCTAGTGCAAGAGAGCCTTCGCCTGCTCTCCCTTCCTGGGAGCAGGTGCAGAACTAGCTGTGTCCCCTCACCAGGGTCTGCCCCAAGAGTCCTGCTCAGGGCCTGGCACCAGCTACCTCTGTCACCAGGATGAAGTCACTGGACACTCTGCTCAGCGTTAGTGTCCTCAGGGGCAGAACCAGGACGGTGGCCATGGTCTTTCCATGGCTCTTGTGAGCCTGAGAATGAGCATGGATCCAACAGATGCCCTCCAGCTTTGCCTGGTGATAAGGTGTCCTGCAGGCCCACCTGCGGAAGCAGTCTGCGGGGTGTGTGTGTGTGTGTGTGCGCGCGCGTGCGTGTGCACTGAGGTGTGGCTCAGAGGATGAGCGCTGCAGGCAGAGCATTTACACAGCAAAACGATACGGCCTCCAGGTGCGATCATAAGGAATCTGTTTGAATTAGGAAGGAGGTAACTGTTGAAGAAAATCCTGTGTGACTCTAAGCACGTTTAAGATTTATTTTATTTTATTTATTGATTTATTGATTTATTTTTTGGCCCTGAAAGGGGCCTTTGGGTGGGGATCTCAGGCTGGGAAGAGCAGCTCAGCCGCTGAGGCCGTAGAGCGTGCGTCCCTGGTGCTTGAGCGCGTAGACCGCGTCCGTGGCCAAGACCGTCTTGCGCTTGGCGTGCTCCGTGTAGGTGACGGCGTCACGGAAGACGTTCTCCAGGAAGGCCTCGGGCATGCCGCGGGTCTCCTCGCGGATGAGCCCTGAGATGCGCTTGCCGCCACTGAGCCGGGCCAGGTGTCGGATGGCAGGCTTGGTGATGCCCTGGATGTTGTCACACAGCACCCTGTGGTGGCGCTGGGCGCCGCCCTTGCCCGGGCCCTTCCCGCCTTTGCCACATGTTGAGAAGCTCCTAAACTCAGCTGGGGAGGCAGATCAAGAGAGAGAGAGAGAGAGAGACAGAGAGAGAGAGAGACAGAGTTCCCATCTACCGATTCACTCTCCAAATGCCTGCAGCAGCCTGGACTGGGCCAGGCCAAAGCTGGGAGTAGGGAGCTTCATCCAGGTCTCCCCCGTGGGTGGCAGGACTCCCATCGCCTGAGCCGGCACTGCTGCCTTCCTGCATTGGCAGGAAGCTGGAGTCAGGAGCTGGAGCCAGGAAATGAACGGGCCCGTGTTTATAGGATAGCACACTCAAGGACAGAGGAAAAGTTACACAGTATATTGAGAGCTCAGTTTGCCAAACAGTGACCACATTTTTGTGGGAGTATGTAAATACTACATGTATGGAGGAAAGTGTGGGCTGCCCTATAGGAAAAGCAGGTGTCTCTGGAAGACAGGATTGTGAGTGATCTTTCTTTCTGCTTATCAGTATTTTCTAAATGTGCTACTAGGAGCAGGCATTAATTTTACTTAAAAAAAAAAAAAGTGGCTGTGGGTGTTTGGCCCAGTAGTTAAGAAAAAAAAAAAAATGGCAAAAGTTATTTTAAAATGTGTCATTCCTTCTGAGGGTTACTTCGCTGGCTCCTGCGGGGTACAGGGCTCCGTGCTCAAAGCTTGCCGACTGCCGTAGTTGATGGATAAAGGACTTAAGTGTCCCCCTTTTTGCCTCTACCAGGAGAAGCAGCAGCATGGCCAGCGTGCTGTCCCGGCGCCTTGGCAAGCGGTCCCTCCTGGGAGCCCGGGTGTTGGGACCCAGTGCCTCTGATGGGCCATCCGGGGTAGGCCCACCCTTGGAGCCACAGGTGGAGCTCCTGGAGGGGGCAGCCCCCCAGCCCTTCCTCGCCATTAAGGACCCTGCCTGCCCGGAGCAACCCAAGGAAGTCCTCAAGGCTCCCTGCACCTCAGGCCTCCAGCAGGTGGTCTTTCAGCCGGGCCAGAAGGTAGGTTGATCCCAGTGTGGGCGGGCGTCCCGTCTCCTGGAGCTGGGGGCTGGCAGGCCGGCGGTGCCCTAAGTGACAGGCCAGAAACTCTCTGGGCACTGCCTGGGGCAGCAGGCTGCTGGAGAGAATAGGTCCCCCCCCCCAAGTCCCCACCCCAGCGTGAGCCTCCTGGAGGAGAAGGTGGTGGCTCAGGCCTCAGTCAGACACATGGCCTTTACTCTGTATCACCTAATCTGCTCAGTCTGCCACTTTGCAAAGTAAGGGAGAGGCCCTCCGGCTTGCAGAACTCAGAAGATGGCGTCTTGGAATGAGCATTTGATGTCTACTAGATGGAGATGTTTGCTCAGTCAGAATTCAGTTTGATTTCCTCTTCCCGTGTTCACTCGCCTGCGACAGGGCCCATCCTTACCTGGACCCGAGGTTACCACTGCATCCAGGTTCGCAGGGTTCACTTTCAAGTGCCTTCCCAGGGGCCCATGCATAGAGACCGTCTGTCTCCCACGAGGCTTGAGCCTCCCAGGCCCCCTCCCCATGAGGGACAGCCACCTGCCAAGTTCCCAACACTCCTGGAGTGAGGTCAGCCGGCCTCTGCCCCCTCCCAGCTTGTCCCCAGCAGACTCAGCATTCTCTGAAGGGTCAGGTCCAGGGTCTGAGCAATTCAGGGTGAAGGTTGGGCACCGGCAAACATCCGGGGCTTCAGAGGCCAGGCAGGGCAGGAAATGAGGAGGGTGGACACAGAGTCCATATGGAGAGAAAACCCCAGAAACTGACGTGTTCCCCTGTCTTGCAGTTCTAATGAGTTGGTCAGGACCCTTTAGGGGAAGGACTGACACAGCGTGGCTGCTCTGGGTGGTCAGGTGGGAAGCAGGTGCCTGGGAACCTTTGTTCCTAATCCGTTTCCAATACCCAAGATTGGGTTGCACGTGAAAAATAGTTCACTGAGCTCCTGGTGCTAGCGGCTGGGATGTTCAGAGCACGGAAGTGGTGTCTGGTGAGGACCCTTGGGCTGTGTCATCCTGTGGTGATGGTGGGGGGGGGGGGCAAGAGAGGGCAAGAACGAGCGAACAAGAGGTGTCCAAACTCAGTTTTGTAACAGTCCACTCACCAACCCATTGCCACAATAATAGCATTAACGGATTCACGAGGGCAGTGCCTCTGGGACATACTCGCTTCTCCATGCTGTTGCTTTGGGGGCTGTTTCCAGTGGACTTTGTGGGGAGCCATTGACATGATAGTATGCAGGAATTAAAGCGGGGTGAGTCAGAGCACGGGCAGGACTTGGGGCACCGGAGGACCGTGGGACGAGAACCACCGAGTACTGACCGCTGCGTGCTGTTTGTCCCCCACCCCTCCAGGTGTTTGTGTGGTATGGGGGTCAGGAGTGCGCAGCACTGGTGGAGCAGCACAGCTGGGCGGAGGACAAGGTGACCGTCTGGCTGCCGGACCAGAGGTCACAGATCTGCTGCAAAGCGGAAGAAGTGTGGCTGGCAGAGCTACAGGGCCCCCTGCCCCAGGCGCCGCCCTTGGAGCACCGTGCCCAGGCTCCAGCCTACAGGCCCGTCTCCAGGAACATTGACGTCCCCAAGAGGTTTGTGCGGGCGAGCCTGGGCTTTGAAAGCCATATCGGGGGAGAGGAAGGGGGTGGGACTGCCTTGCGATGGGGAAGAGTATAGGGGTCCTGGGTGCCACACTGCCAAGGTGTTGGACAAGTGGGATCTTGGGGAAAGCCGGAACAGCAGACGTTCTTCCCTAAAACCCTGTTGTAGGGGACGTATGTTTGGTTTGAAGGGCTGCTTTCTCTCCCGTTCCTGCTTACCCTAGACACCCGTTTGTAGTTTCTCATGGGAAGACGAAGGGAAGAAGTGGCTCAGGTTGGGGCTCAGTGGACCTCTCTGAATGGGCCAGATGGGAAGCAGTTTTGGCTCAGGGGCCGACCGGGCCCTACCCTGGCTTCGCAGCCCTGTGGTGGCGAGGTCACAGCAGCCACAGACGAGACACAAGCCACTGCACACAACTGTGCTCCAGTGAGACTTTCCTTATGGACTCTCCAGTTTCAATTTGATATGATTTTCGTGTGTTGGCAATGTCAAGAAATCACTCTTTGAAAAAAAAATTTGCTTTGAAAAAAATATTTAAATTGTAAAACCATTCTTAGTTTGCAAACCATACAAAAACAGGTGGCTGGCTGCATAAACCACCAGTGTTTAATGAAGAATGTATGTTTGCTTTAGCATCTGTGATATGATTTTTCCTGAGAGTATATATCCTTACTTCTCTGTTACATCTAGTGTGCACATTGATCTTTTAAGATTTAAAAAGGGCCGGCGCCGCAGCTCACTAGGCTAATCCTCCGCCTGCGGCGCTGGCACACCGGGTTCTAGTCCCGGTCGGGGCGCCGGATTCTGTCCCGGTTGCCCCTCTTCCAGGCCAGCTCTCTGCTGTGGCCAGGGAGTGCAGTGGAGGATGGCCCAAGTGCTTGGGCCCTGCACCCCATGGGAGACCAGGATAAGTACCTGGCTCCTGCCATCAGAACAGCGCGGTGCGCCGGCCACAGTGCGCCGGCCGCAGCAGCCATTGGAGGGTGAACCAACAGCAAAGGAAGACCTTTCTCTCTGTCTCTCTCTCTCACTGTCCACTCTGCCTGTCAAAAAAAAAAAAAAAAAAAAAAAAAAAAGATTTAAAAAGAAAATCTGCCAACCAGGATAGTCTTCTGTACAGAATATGCAAGCATTTAAACTCTGTTCTGCCTATCTTTCTGTGTCCGTCTGTCGGTATTACTGTTACTGACAGCCAACCCAGCGTTTTGAGAATAGATCAGAGTAACAATATTTGTGATTGTGGATTCAGTGGAATGCCAGTGAAGAATTTGTTTTTCCGTTCTAAGGAAATGAAAACTCAAAGATCCTACAAAAATGGACATGCTAACATGTTTCATTTATATTAGTAGTCTTGGATTAGCTGCCTCAAACACAGAGGTTTTAGTGGACTTGAACTGTAAAGAATGAAATAATACTAAGGTCCTTCAGAAAGCTCATGGAGAGTGGCTGTTTGGCTGAGTGATTAAGACACTGGCTAAGATGCCCGTGTCCCATGCCGGGAGTGTCTGGGTTCAATACCCGGCTCCAGCTCCTGACTCCAGCAGACCCTGGGAGGCAGCAGCGATGGTGTAAGTTATTGGTTCCCGCCACCCCATGAACAAGTAAAATTGAATTTTCAGCTCCTGGCTGTTGCAGACGTTTGGGGATTGAGTCAGTGTGTATGTGTGGCGGGGGTGGGCAGGGGCTGGGGAGACCCTTTATTTGTCTTTTTCTCTGCCTCTCAAATTAAGAAAAAAAGCATGTTCATGGAAAGCACATATTTTGAAAAGTCTATGGATTTCAAAACTTTTTTGCATGACAAACTTAATTGATTCCAATTTTCCACAGACTTTTTAAAGTACCCTTGTATGGTCTTTTGAAACAGATATGAAATCTATTTCAGACTAACTTTTTGTGATATTTGAGTATTGACTTATAGACAGCTCTGTTTTACTTCCATATTATGTAACTGTATATGAATTTAAAAAAAAAATTACGTGTAAAATTTTATAGAACTTTGCTCTTCAAGGCCTTGGGATTTATTTTAGGGTTTTGGATTTATTTGCTCATTGGCTTATGTAATGGGTTCTGTTGACGTCCAGAAACTGACACTGCCTTATTTATTTTGGAGGAGGGGAGGAGGCGCGGTTAGTGTAATTGTGCCTCCCTAACTTTAAATGGAAGACGGGAAAGGAGGTAATTTTAGTGCATTTGAATTCCAGTTGGCTATCTTTTACCCCTGTGCTTTTTTATTTTTTATTGTTTTGACCCCTCTTCCCCCTGCTCCAATAAAATCCTCCATTTTAAGCTGAAGCAGAGTCAGGGAGGTGGCACTGCCCCAGCGTGTGCGCAGCGGCCTGGGGTCTACCTGCGTCGCCTGGGGTTGGTGAGCACCGTAAACAGCACTCAGGGCGAGCGGTTTTCATGAAGAATGAGGCAGGGGGTCCTGTTGCACTTGCTCCTGTGGGCGGGCATGGGCCGGGTGGACGGGGGCTTGGAGGGTAGGGGGCAGAGTTGTAAGGTGACCCCCTGAAGGGACCTGGGCCCACCATCTCAGGCAGTGAGCTCTCCCTCCCCTCATTTCGATGCAGGAAGTCGGACGCGGTGGAAATGGATGAGATGATGGCGGCCATGGTGCTGACGTCCCTGTCCTGTAGCCCGGTTGTGCAGAGTCCTCCCGGGGCCGAGGCCAACTTTGCTGGTGAGCACGCGGGGCCTGATGGGTTCTGGGAGCGGCGGAGGCCCCTGGCCAATACCTCCTGCCTGGAGCAGCTCTTTGCCAGGGTCACCAGCCTGGCCAGAGAGTTTCTGGAGCCCTTCCCACAGGCACCTCGGCTAGGCCAGAGGCCGCCAGGCTCCACGCTGCTGATCTTTCTCCTCGTTTTCCACTCCGGGGGGAGGGGCTTCCTGGTGCACTGTAAAGGTGATGGGGGTACGAGGCCCAGCCGCAGTGGCTACTGAAAGAAATCCTTCTATGAGAATGAGTGTGTGCTTACAGCAGTGGGGGCCTACACCAGGCCAGGAGAGGGACATTTAGTTCGCCACACGGCCCCCTTGTGCCCACAGGAAACTTGTGCCCCCCAATTTGGCCTTGTAAGTTAGGGTGGCCCTACAGGCCAGTAGCCAGAAATAGATGAGCTGAAGTCTAAAATCTGATTGCTTTGCAAAACCAA